CATACTCTTCTGCACCCTGAGCTATCTCCCTGTGCATAAGCAGCCCTTCCTTCTCCCATGATTGTTCTCTCCAGGGCGTGTGTCTACTTGACTTCTGCCCATTTTTTAATTGGATTGTTAATCTTTTTGTTGGTTGGGCAATCTACTTCCGTAGTGATACTGCCTTGGAAACCCAAGGAGGGGTCACTATGAGTCGGATCCGACTTGATGGCAAATAACAACAAGAGGCAGAAAGGAGCTTTGGTGGAATAGTGCTTAAGGCATTTGACTGCTAACCAGAAGGATGGCGGTTCAAAACCACCAGCCACTCCCCAGAAGACTGGGCAACGTACTTCCATAAAGATTTGCCACCTCGGAAACCCAAGGGGGGGTTACTATGAGTTGGAATCAACTTGATGGCAGTGGGTCTTTTTGGTTAGAGGCAGAAAGGGTAATCTTAACTACCATCAAGACAGAGAAGAGCCAAGAGTGGAGTACATCCTTGGACCTGAGATCTCTGCACTGAGACAATGGCAGAGAGATGACGGCAACAGGACCAAGAGAGTGGTGGGCATCCCAGCCCCAGACCAAGAAAGCTGAGTGCCTCTGGGTAGGAGGCTTGTTGGTGGAGTGGCGTGCCACCTGGGAGCACCTAATGGCAGGGTTAAAGAGAGGCGTGCCTCTGGGCATAGCAGAGGGGAGACTTAACCTGATCAAAGAATTGTATCCTGAGCACATTCCTGAACCTGGATTGTAACCTGTTGCTGCCCCAATAAACCATAATTGTGAGTATTGTCTGTGAGTACTGTGTGGCCACTGGAACAAATGATCAAACCCAGCAGAAAAGGAGTGAGTGCCATGGGAGAGACGGTTGGTGTCAGAATTTGTAAGAAAGTTGGAGGGTGGCAGCATGCCTGACTTCTGCCTTACAGGACTCAGATTTGGGCTGCTGCTAGTCATTCTATTGAGGCTGGAGAAGGTCAAAGGATACTGCCCTCATGCCCTTCTCTACTGCCGTTGGAGAAGTAAAATATGGGTAATGAGCATTCTGTATACCTCTAGATGCAAACAACAGCAATAGCAGTAAGGGCACTTTTTGATCCTAAGAAAGACTCTTTGTTCCTCACTTCTAGAAACTAAAAAATTAACCCTCAAATGGCACTTCTAGTGAGGCCAATCACCATCATCACTACCACCACACCAACATTATCATCACATGTTCCTAATGAAAAATCAGAAAGAAGATAAATATTACCTTAACTAATTTCAGACTTTAGTTAAAAAACCAAAAACCAAACTTAATGCTGTGGAGTCAATCCCGACCCATAGCAACCCCTCCTGGGGTTTCCAAGGCAGTATCTCTATGGAAGTAGGTTGCCCAACCTTCCTTCCAAGGAGTGGCTGATGGGTTTGAACAGCCAGTCTTCTAGTTAGCAGTGCCTTAGGCACTGTGCCATCAGAGCTCCTAGGCTTAAAAGTGGTAACAATTTTGCTACTTCCCCTTGTGCAAAATTATAAAAAGACCACCCTTGCTGGTCTGATAGAGCCTGGTGAGACCTCTGAGACTATGGCCCCTAGCCATCCTAAAGGCTTGGAATTGAACCCATTCCTGTGGCTTCCAGCCAAACAAAAAAATACGACGTATGGGGTGAACAATTACATCAGGTAGATACACTCCTTGAAGCAATCAATCTTGGGAGAACAGAAGGCCAGTGTTTGCACAGGGAGACAGCTCGGGGCGGAAGTACATGGGAGGGAAGGAAACAGTGAAGCGGTAATTATGGGGAGGAAGTGGGAAGAGAGCTGTTACATTGTGGAAGTTGTTGTTGTTGTTATGTGCCATCGAGTCGGCCCCGACTCATAGCGACCCCTCCTTGGGTTTCCGAGGCAGTATCACTACGGAAGTAGGATTGCCCAACCTTCCTTCCGAGGAGTGGCTGGTGGGTTTGAACCGCCAGCCTTCTGGTTAGCAGTCGAGTGCTTTAGCCACTATGCTACTAGAGCTCCTTCAATGTCATGAGACAAAATGTGTATTAACTGCTGTATGGAAAATGAATTTACTCTGTAAACTTTCACCCAAATCAAGTAAAAAAAACCTATAGGAAGCTTTTCTTATCACTCATTCCTTTAATCAACTGCATAGAACTACACTGTATTAATAAATTAAGATCTATTTATAATGAATCCACTGATAAGCATTTATGGTCTTTCTAATTACTTGATATTATTAAACAGGGCTGCTTTGAACACTCTTGCTCATGCATTTCTGTTGAATAAATTCTTTTTAATTAATTTATTTAAGTTCCTGGTGATTTGCTTCCAAAGGAAATGGAATTATTAGAGCAAAACAAATACAAATTCCAAACTACCTTTCAGAACTAAAGGTACCAGTTAAACTTCTCTCACTTATCTGAGTACCACTCTCCTTACACCGTCACCAGCCCTAGATATGAGTAATCTTTTACATCTCTGGAAGTAACAAGTTAAACCATGAGTTGAGTTTAAATTACTTTAGGTTGATATTTTACTACAGACTTTTAATTACCACGAAGAAAAAGGTGGCTTCAGTGAAGTGTGTGTAAACTCTGTATTCATATCACACTCCCAAAAACCCAGTAATTCTAGTAAATCCTTATTATAATATTATGTTGTTGGTGTTATGTGCTGTTGAATCGGACCCGACTCATAGTGACCCCTCCTTGGGTTTCCAAGGCAGTATCGCTACGGAAGTAGATTGCCCCATTTTCCTTCCAAGGAGTGGCTGGTGGGTGTGAACCGCCAGCCTTCTGGTTAGCAGTCAAGTGCCTTAGGCACTGTGCTACCAGAGCTCCTATTGTAATATTATAGTAGGTAGAATTCTAAAATGATGTCCATACTACTCACTCCATGTTACACCCTGTATAATGCTCTCCTCCTCAGTATGGGTGGGACTTGTGAGTGACCTGCTTCTAAGCAATAGAATATGGCAAAGGCAACAGGGTATCACTCCCTCCATTAGGTTATATGGCAAGGGTGACAGAATGTCACTAAGGCACTTGACTGCTAACCAGAAGGCTGGTGGTTCAAACCTAGCAGGCACTCCTTGGAAGGAAGGTTGGGCAATCTACTTCTGTAGTGATATCATTTCAGAAACCCAAGGAGGGGTCACTATGAGTCGGGTCCGATTCGACAGCACATAACAACAACAATGGTTACATTACATTACATAAGATGCTGTCTTAGCAAGATAGATAAAGACTCCCTGACTGGATTTAAAGATGCAAGCTGTCAAGCTATGAGCGAGCCTACAGGGAGGCCAGGTGGCAAAGAAATGAAGGTGGCAACTAGAAGCTAAGAGCAGCCTTCAGCAGAAAGCCAGCAAGAAGAGAGTACTGGAGTGGCTAACTAAGCAAATTCTGCCTGCAACGTGAGGGAGCTTGGAAGTCCTTCCACCAGCACAGCCACTGCTGAGACCACAGCCCCACCTGACTTCTGGATTGCAAGATAGGAGACCTCAAACAGCAGCTAACCTACAGAACCTGACAGATAATACGTGTGTGCAGTTTAGAGCTATGAAGCTTGTGGTGATTTATTACACAGCAATAAAAAACTAACACAAATACCTTTGATAAAGCTTTTTATTTTTTAATCAGTACCACCTGTAATTTTATCAGTAAGGACTCTGAACAGCCTCACTCCATTGTTCATTAAGTTGATATATTTTGATTTAAAATAAAATGGAGCGTAAAAGAGAACATTACTTCATTACTTTTTTTTTTAATACTCACAAAAGGTAGAGTACACCTTCGTACATGGCCAAACTGTGCAAAGTGTTCTCTCAGCTCACCTGTATGGAGGTAGAAAACACATAAAGGTAGTTAATGTATTTTGTGTTGCCCATCCTAGATTGCAGAATGAAGCTGAAACAGGTTCTAGAGTTCCTGAACTTCTATGAACAGGAGCGACTGTGCATTTCCTTGGAGCCTTAAGATTTAGAAGTAACAGTGGCACTAACAACAAGCCCCTGGGTGGCACAAATGGTCAACACCCCACTGTTAGCCAAAAGTTTAAACCTACCAGCTGCTCCACGGGAGGAAGATGAGGCAATCTACTTCCGTAAAGATTGTTCTACTCTGACCCATAGGTCGCTATAAGTCTGAATCAACTTGATGGCTATGGGTTTGCTTTTTTGGGTTTTCATAATACCAGGTACTGTGCTAGGTGTATGGCTTATAATCACTGTCTGTGAGATCACAGTCCAGAATGAAAACAGGTAAAACAATTAAAATATAGTGTGTTGCCAGCTACACTCGAGATTTCCAAATAAAATCCCAATTTACTGGTTTTTCATAACTTAAAAGGTTGTAGCTTAAAAGCTACATAGTTGGTACTTGAAAATTTATTGAGTTGCCCCTACATACTTTTTCTGTCTTCTCTCTCACTGCTGGCCTATAGCTGCCCTCTAATACGACAAAATGAATTCTGAGTAAACTGTTCTGTGGATTCCTATCTTTGCATATGTTGTCAGTAATCTTATTTCTCCTGCCTAAATTTTAACTATCCTTTGAAACCCAAACCATATACATCCACTATTATACTACTGGGCTCCTAATGCAGTAAGACAATGTACTAGACCTGTGGGGTGTCAGCAGTGAATCATGTAAAGTCAAAAAACTATATGATCTCTTTCTCTTCTGAATATCTACAGTACTTGTACTTTCACTGATTTACATTTTTATATTGCCTACTTATTGCCCATAGTTCCTCTAAAAGTCACTGGTTCAACTGCCTGTATTTATTGTTTGTAAGTCTCCTCTAGCGTAGTGCCTAAGGCACTTGACTGCTAACCAGACGGTTGGTGGTTCAAACCCACCAGCCACTCCTCGGAAGGAAGATGGGGCAATCTACTTCTGGAGTGATACTGCCTCGGAAACCCAAGGAG